AGCCGCACGGCAGCAGCGGGCGGGCTCTGTCGCTCTCCCCGTCGAGTCCCCGGGCTCTGGCAGCGGGGCGCTCTCTCTCGCTGGCGGCGCCCCGGCCCCAGGCCCCGCGGACGGGGCAGGAGCAAGGGGAGAGCGAGCGCGCTGCCTCCGCCAGCCCTGCCCGGCTCGGGCCACTCACCTGCGCCTCGCTCCGGGGCGCTGCGATCCCGCTCCCTCCCCACGGGCCAGAGGGACCCGGAGTTTGCCTGAGCTGCGCCTCTCCCACGTGGCGCGGGGCCCCCTCTGGCTCCCTCCTTCCCAGCGCTCCGCCGCGGAGCCCGCCGCGCTGCTCCCCTCGCCGGGAGGCTGGCGCCGGAGTTAACCCCTCCGCGCCCGGCCTCGCCAGGGGTCCAGCGCCCCCCGCCCCCCGCCCCATGCAAAGGCCGGAGGCTGCCTCGGCACAGGAGGCTGGTGGCTCACAAGGGCCAGGGCAGAAATTCCCCCAGAGCCCGCAGCTCTGCGGAGACCCCCTGGCCCGGCCCGGCCCAGCCCCGCCCCTCCGATGTACCCCCGGGCCCTGCACCCCGCCCTGGGGTACAGAGACTGAGCGCCCCCAGGCTCATGATTAGCCTGGCCAGCACCCAGGAGCCCCAGGCACAGCCCAGCTCCCCAATCGGCCCCAGGCGCCTGGGGAGGACAGAGCTGCAGCATGTGTCACCTCAGCTGCTCAGCTTCCCCAGCAGAGGGTGCTGGGAGTCCCCTGTGGGCACGGGGCAATGAGAGACCGGGGGGAGGGACACCCCGCAGGCAGCCAGACACACAGGGGCTAGTGGTGGATGAGGGGCTGTGCCTTCGCCAGCAGGAGTCGCTGGGACGCCTGGGGAGGGGAGGGGAGGTGTTTGGGGTGGGACTGGAGCGAGGGGTTGCAGGCTGAGCCGCTTGTGGTCCCTGCGGTGACACTAACACACAGGCCAGAGTGCAAAGGGCATCATGAGCCCAGCTCAGCCATGGCGATATCCCATCAGAGGGAATGGAGTGTGCAAGGACTCCAGCCCCCCAGGGGCCTGTGGCTGGGTAAGCTAGTTAAACACACAGGATTAAACTCTAAAACAGCAAGGGAGGGAGATGAAGGGCCCCAAAGCCTGTGTGTCTGGCTGACCCCAGTTCTCTTGTCGCCATGAGAACAGGCCGGTTGGAGGCATGTGGCCCTGTCAAGGTGCAGTCAAGTGCGGAGTTCCTGGCTCCCCTGCTCCCCAAGGGATTTTAGATGAGATGGATCCAAAGTCTCTCAATCGCAGCTTCTTCCCATCCCACTGTGGAACACACAATCACTGCTGGGAGAGGCACGTGCCGGGGAGGATGAGCAACTAACCCTCCCCGCCCCCCCATCCACTTCTCTCCCTTCTCCACGGGTCCAGTCCTATACTTCAGTGCTGGGCTAATGGATGCAGCGCAGCTTCATTCAGGAGTGAGCTTTCCCAGGTGGCCGGGATGCAGTGCTTAATTTGTGCCAGGGCTGAGCCCTGGCACCTCTGGGCTTACCGCGTCAGTTATTAAAATTAAAAAATTGCTTGATCCCCAGCACCTATTT